GTGTTCTTTCCACTACCCTGCATTGTCTTCTGTCAATAACCTTGAATTCACGAGTCCTTTTAAACTTAAAATTCTTTTTTTCACATATATGCATATGTATACATTATATCATATAAATTATAATTATATATTATGTCATATAACATATAACACCTATTATATGAATTATAGCATATAATATTATTTTATATTCTATAAATATGCAAATATATAATATAAATTATACTTACATATTATGTAATATATTGTCATATTAAATTATATATTATATATGTGGTATACATGATTTAAATTATCTAAATATATCTATATGTATATATGTATCTATATCTATATCTATCTATATGTATCTTCTTTCTAAAATACTCAGTTTTGTGACTTTCCCAGAATTCTTACTTAGACAGATAAATGGCACAGCGGATACAGTGTGCTGGCCTGAAGTCAGAAGGACCAAAATTCAAATCAGGCCCAGACACTCACTAGCTGTATGACCTTAGACAAGTCACCTAACCTCCATCTGCTTCAGTTTTGTCAACTGTAAAATGGGGTTAATGGTAGTCCCTACCTCCCAGGGTTGGTGCAGAGCTCAAAAGAGAAAATATTTGTAAAGCATTTCCATCCCCTCTCCCCTCTTCACTTTCAATGTACCTGTTGCCTGTGGTATGTACTTCTCCATGCTCTGGAAACCTCATTCTACTTTTGCTTACTCTGACTGTTCCCATGTTTGTTCCCAGTCCTCACGCACAAAACATACATATAGATCTATCACGTTCATTGCCATCTCGCTCAGTGTTAAACCTTTCGTCTTATGCATGGTAGGGAATTTGGAACATTTGCAGATGGGAAATATAAAACCTCAACCACTTTTTCTAGCTTTTTTCAAAGTTGCATGCATGACCTTCAAGGTCCCTCTAGGTGGCACAGTGGGTAGAGCATTGGACCTGGAGTCAGGAAGACTCATCTTCTTGAGTTCAAATCTGGTGTCAGACACTTTCTAATTGTGACCATGGGCAAGTCACTTAACCCCTGTTTGCCTCCGTTTCTCATCTGTAAAATGAGCTGGGGAAGGAAATGGCAAACCACTCTTTCTTTCTTTCTTTCTTTCTTTCTTTCTTTCTTTCTTTCTTTCTTCTTTCTTTTTTTTTCTTTCTTTCTTTCTTTCTTTCTTTTTTTCTTTTTTCTTTTTTTCTTTCTTTCTTTCTTTCTTTCTTTTCTTTCTTTCTTTCTTTCTTTCTTTCTTTTCTTTCTTCTTTCTTTCTTTCTTTCTTTCTTTCTTTCTTTCTTTCTTTCTTTCTTTCTTTTTCTTTCCCTTAGGCTCACTAGCCCTAAGTGAGCCAGCTCATCAAATATACTGGCCCCAGAGTCAACACCCAACTTTCACACTTCTCAGGTTGGCAAAACCACTGTCCTAGGAGGCCATGATTTGTTAAAATAATTTTATAAGCAAATTCCAATATGATTGGTTTCCTTTATAATTCTATATATGTTTTATTCATTAAAAATATTTATTCTGAAAAGTAATGTATAGGTTTCTATCCCAGACTTCTTTCTTTCTCTTTCTTTCTTTCTTTTTCTTTCTTTCTTTCTTTCTTTCTTTCTTTCTTTCTTTCTTTCTTTTTCTTTCTTTCTTTTTCTTTCTTTCTTTCTTTTTCTTTTTTCTTTCTCTTTTTTCTTTCTTTCTTTCTTTTCCTTCCCCTTCTTCCTTCCTTCTTCCTTCCTTCCTTTCTTTCTTTCTTTCTTTCTTTCTTTCTTTCTTTCTTTCTTTCTTTCTTTCTTTCTTTCTTTCTTTCTTTTCTTTCACCAATCACTCTTGGAATGCTAGTCACATTCACACAGAATGTTCTCAAAGGCTATGGCTTCCTAGCTTAGATGGTATCCCACATTTCACATGGTTTTACACAGAAAATCCTTCCTTATCCTATCAAATGCAGTCTCTTGATCCAGGCTCACCTCTTAATCCAGCCATTTTCTCCACACCAGCTCTTCTTAGCGCATTCTATTATTTCTCTTAAGATGGCTAAAGCAACGCACCATTTCTCTGACTTACTACGTAGTTTGGGATCTTTGGTGCCAGCTACCTCTACAACTTTACATCATATTTTCCTACCTACTTTTTGACATTTTAAGGTTATTCTTTGGGTTGACCAGCAAGGAGTTGCCTCCTTACACTTCATCTCGTAATGGGAAATACAACTTTTTAGTCCTCCATGGAGAACCTTCTAATGCTCATGGGCCCTTCCCCCAAGTCAGCCCCTAATTTTCCCTCACTTACTGTGCTCATTAACAAAACCATCCATCTCCATTCTTAAGGTGGCTGGCTGACCTCCCTCCTTTTCCCCAAGGTGGTTATGTAATCATGTAAAAAATTTAATGAACTGAAAGTTGATGCAGCATCTTACAAAGCCCATGGCATCTGTTAGAATTCTGAAGGACGCTAGTCACATTCACATACATACCTTCCTAGGCTGTTGTTCTCCGGCTTCATAACAACCCATCTCCTACATTGTCTCAAACACAAAATCCTTCCAGCTGGTTCCCTTGATTCAAGCTTACCTCTTAAGTATCTCTGTAAGCCCTTCTTCAGCACATTCTGTTACTTTTCTTACAATAACAAAGCAATGTGGTTTGGCTTAAAAGAACAAACAAATAAAAAGCTTTCTTTTCTTTTTTTTTTAATTTTTGGGCAGTTAGAGTTAAGTGACTTGCCCAGGGTCACACAGCTAGTAAGTGTCAAGCGTTTGGTCTGAGGCCGGATTTGAACTCAGGTCTTCCTGTCTCCAGGGCCAGTGCTCTATCCACCATGCCACCTACCTACCTAGCTGCCCTAAAAGCTTTCTTTTCAAGTAGCTGGTAGACTTTCACACAAGCAGAGAAAGCGCTAATCAAGGAAGCACCTGTACAGCCCCTAAACCATCTTCAGATTAGCATCTCTTTTTGCTTTTCAGGGGTGGGTGGCACCATAGTGCATAAAGCACTGGGCTTGGAATCAGGAAGATTGATCTTCCCCATGATCGAATCTGCCTCAGATACTTCTTAGCTGTGTGACCCTGGGCAAGTCACTTAATTCTGTTTGCCTCAGTTTCCTCATCTTTAAAATGAGCTGGAGAAGGAAATAGCAAACCACTCGAGTATCTTTGTCAAGAAAAACCTAAATGGGATCACAGAGAGTCAGATGCAACTGAAAACCAAATCACTTTTCAGGGGATACATGTTCCCCAGAGCTGGGACGAGGCATTTGGGGGTCCTTAGGCAAGGCCTCCAAATCCTGCCCTCCCCTATCACCACTTGCATTTTAAATGTATGCCTTTTGTTATTTTACAAGAAAGGCAGGAAGCCTTCACTCTAATTTGGTAGAGCACTGAACCTGGAGTCAGGAAGACCTGTGTTCAAATCCTGCCTTAGATACTTAATAGCTTTGTGACCCTGGGCAAGTCACTTAACTCCCTATGACCTCAGTTTTCCCATAAAATGGAGATAATAATAGCACCTACCACCAAATATTATTGTAAGGATAAAATGAGATAATATTTGTAGCATTTTGCCAACGTCAAAGCCCTATGTAAACGCTAACTGTTAAGACTCTGCCCTCTTTCCCCTCTGTTATATTTGATCATAATGATCATTTAAAGTTGGAAGGTTACCTAAAGCCTCAGTGGTCATCTAGTTCAACCTCTTCATTTTATAGATCAGGTAACTAATGCCAGAAGAGGTCAAGTGACTTGCCCAGAATCAAATATGTGGCAGAGCTGGGCTTAGACCTCAGGTCTGTTAAAGGGAAATCCAATACTCTTTCCACTGGACTGTGGAAATTCTACTCCAGGCCAAGTTTCATTCTGATTTCTCACTATCAGAGTAAGGAACTTTTACAGATGGTTAGCACTAACCTGCTGTTTCTGTTCAACCATCTTTATAACTCTTTATGACTTTTTTTGACTTACAGGTTAAATGAAAGGGGTTGGGGGTGGGGGAGGAGGATGTAAAGGGAAAGCAAATATAGACACTCCCCGAAAGACTTTGAAGCTATTTACTCTAAGCTTGGCTAAAGAGAAGTCTTTTTATTTATATTTGTTTAAGCAGGCTTGTGAGAAGAGGTTTTAAGTGGAGAAATTCCTAATAGGCTTTGGGGATTCGGTTGAGCCAAATTTCATGTAGCCAGCCCCAACTCCATCCATGATGGGACTTCCAAAGCCAGTGGTACCTCCATGTGGACTCCTGGGGTGTGTTGGAACCAGCTTGAACAAGATAGTTGTTAAATTTTCAGTGTTAGCATTTCCACCTCAAAAATCAGCAAATACTGCAAATCAGGGCTTGGTTTATCTGTTCTGTTGATTGTTTGGAGTTAAGTGGTAGAGACAATATTAATAATGCAGATTAAACTTAAAAGTCTGTAGCATTCATACATTTTTAGAGAGCCATTTGTTAAACATTTGCCAGCATACTCTTGCCTGAGTCCATCATACATAAGCAGTTTCAGTTTTAGGCAATTATGTGAGCAGCACATGGCATTGCTGGCAAATTGAAATGGGCCAACTGAGTAGCTCCATCAAGACCCATTATACTTTCTTTTAAAAGGCTCCAATGTCCTCCATTCCTAGTAGATTTATGTCTTAAAGAGAATGACTTCTCCAATATTGGAGATTATAATCTACATCTGATGCTAGAATCCCTCTACTTCTTCTAACTATGGAACAGTGAAGTGATAATGGGTCAGTTGTCCTCTAAAACTTCAAATCCATCTCAAATTCCTTGAAGGAATGAACATGAGCCCAGCTTGGGATAGGAAGAAATAAACCTTGGGCTATTTGCTCCCTTTACTGTGCAATGCCCCCTCACTGTTTGGGGAATGAGATGGAGCCTCCTGCTAATTGCTTCTCATTCCCAGCATCTAGTGAGGTAAGTGCATTGACCACTCAAAGTACAAGATTGTGGCCCTGACATGACATTGCTATGGTGATTGGTGACTTTGTCTCCTCTGTCTTTCCCTTCCCTCCCTGCCGCAGCTTAATTGCTTACACGGAACAGTACGTGGAATATGATCCTTTGATAACTCCAGCAGAACCTTCTAATCCGTGGATCAGTGATGACATCACTTTATGGGACATAGAGATGAGGTATAAAAACAAAATAATAATAATGTTAACTTCAGAGAACAAAAATTAATCTTTTTTCAAAAGGGATGGGGAGTGGGAATTCCATGAGATCAAGTAATGGTCTTCAAGGCAGCTTTCCATTGTCTCTGGGCTAATGAGGGCCACTGAAGAAATGGTTAAGAACAAAACTTGTCAGATTACGCTCATTTCCTTTTTGACAAGGTTGCTAGACTGGTAGGTCTGGATTTTAGCATAGTATCCCCTTTTCCAGCAAAGCATCTTACAATATATTTTGTGTGTCATACATCTACCTTATACCTAATGGGTGTAAATGTATTATGCCTAGTAGGTATTTATTAAACATTTGTTGAATTGAATGAATAACCTTGGAGACAAGGTGGAGAGATATGGACTGGTTATCACATTGGGTGATTCAGTCAGATGTCATATATAGGATTCGTGTCTCAGGAAGGGTTTGAACTAGACTTCTGAGGGTCAGTCAGTTAGTCGATAAAGCATTTATTCTCCAGGAAGCTAGGTGGTAAAGTGGATAGAGCCCTGGGCCTGGAGTCAAGAAGACCGGAATTCAAGTCTGACCTCTGACTCATAGTAGCTGTGGGATCCTAAACAAGTCACTTAACTCTTGCCTGCATAATGCTAGAGAAGGAAATGGCAAGCCATTCCTGTATCTTTACCAGGAAAACACCATGGTCAGTTGGTCCACAGGGCCGCAAAGACACAACTGAACAACAATGCACCAGTGCTAAGCACTGGGAATGCAAAGAAAAGTAAAAGACAGTCCTTGCCTTCAATGGGCCCTATAGTTCTTAGGGTTCATTTACCATACTAATAGATCATGGAATTATATCAGGCTTGAAAAAGTACATAGAAACATCAGAGCTGACAAATGATGCCTGTTTCTGATTCTTCTTTGGTTTTTAAAAGTCAGAGAAGAAGCAAGCCTCAGTTTAGCTGAACTAGAATAATTCAGTGTCTTGTTTCTTCCAAGCTAGCTGATCTCATGCCCTTCTAAATGGGCTTAATTTTAGGTCCCTGAGCCCAGAGGACCTTAGTAGGCCCCTGGTCCTGCTATACTAGATAACTGGTATCTGCCTAAGGCATTCATACTATAGTACCCAACCAGATTATTGTTTCAGTTAAATTTAATCTTATTAGGTAGCAAGATCTTTTTGTATCCTAGATCTGCCCAGGATCCATCATATTAACCACCACTTTCAGCTTTTGGGCATTTGCAAATTTGACAAGCATGCCTTTGCCTTGCTCCATCAAAATAATTCATAAAAATGTTGAGCAACACAGCGCCAAGGCCATATCCCTAGGGCATTGCTCTCAAAACCTCCCTCCTAGTGGCCATCAACCTATCAGTGACTATTCTCTGGACCTGGGCATTCAGTAAGCTCTGAATCTACCTAATCGTGCTGTCATCTAGGCTCTCTCTTTTCTATTGTATCTAGAATGTTGGCATGAGGATTTTTGTGAAGTGCTTCCCCTGATCTACCAGTCTAGTTAGTCTAACCTCAAAGAAAAAGGAAATGAGGTTCATCTGGCATGATCTGTTTTCAAGGAAGCCGTATTGGGAGAATTTACTCAAAAGATGCTCCACAGGTTGAATCAACAAGAATTGGGTAGCCGAATAGATATGAGAGGAAAAATTGAAGATAATCAGGAAAATGAATGTAGTGGTTCCATTAACAAAACAGTGTGATCAGAAGGAGAATAAGGAATAACAAGAAAGATAAATGTGGTTTCTCATATGTTAAGTTTGAGGTGGGGGTGGACATTCAGATAGTGATGGCTTATAAGCAGTTGGCAATGGGATCTGGAATTCAAGAGAAACGTCAGGGATGGAAATGAAGTTTTAAAAATTATTTAGTGTTTCATTTTCCCCAATTACATGTAAAAACAATTTTTAATATTGTTTTTAAAATTTTGAGTTCCAAATTCTGTCCCTCCCCACTGCCCTCATTGAAAAGACAAGCAATTTGATATAGGTTATACATATGTAGTCATGCAAAACATATTTCCATATTAGTACTGTTGTATAACAAAATATAGATTAAAAAAACAAGAAAAATAAAGACAGTAAAAATGCTTCAATCTGTATTCAGACTCCATCAATTCTTTCTCTGGGGATGGATAGCATTTTTCACCACAAGTCCTTCAGAGTTGTCTTGGATCATTGTATTGCTGAGAATAGCTAAGCCATTCACAGCTGGTCATCTTACAATATTGCTGTTGCTGTGTAGAGTGTTATCCTGGTTCTGCTCATGTCACTTTGCATGAATTCATGTAGATTTTAGAAATGAAGTTTCATAAGTCACCTGCATAGAGGGAATAGGTGAAGTGGCAGAAGTCAATAAGATCATTAAGGTATATAGAAAAAGAATGGAAGAGTGCCCAGGACAAAACCCTGGGGAGCATATACATTGAGCATTCAGAAAGAGGAAATAGAACTAGTGAAGTAGATAGAGAAGGGCTTAGCTAGGTGGAAGAAGAACCAGGAGAGGGTGATGTCTATGAAGTCAAGGAAGGGAAGACTATCCAATGGGAAAGGTTGGTCAACTTTGTGAAATTCTGCAAAAGTCAAGAAGGATAAATACTATAAAAGGATATTGGATTAAATGATTAGGAATATCATCATTGGTGATGTTTGAAAGAGCAGTTCCAATTGATTAGTGGGAGTAAAAGGTTTTTAAGAAGTTGGGAAATGGGTAGTAAAGAAGTAGAAACATCAAGTACAGAAGACTTTTTGAGGAGTTTAGCAGTAAAGGGGAGGAAAGATGTGGAAACAAAAGTTAATGGAATACGAAAAATCAAAGGAAAGCATTTTTAGAATTGGAGACCCATGCATTTTCTCAGCAGATGAGAAGAGGAGTTTGAAGATGTAGGAGAAAGAGAGGATGTCTGTTGGAGGTATGAGTGTGGAAAAGGAAAGATGGGTCTAGGGTCAAAGAACCAGGGTTCAAATCTTGTATCTGATGCTAACCACTTCTGTGAAGTAGGGCAAGTCATTTGGTCCTCAGTTTCCTTATCTGTAAGATGAGAGGATTGGTTAGATGGCCTTTGAGGTCCCTTCAGGCTCTAAATCTGTAAGCCTATGAGTTGGATAAAGACCATAGGTCAAGGAATTAGCCTTAGGTCACTTCAGTTGTAAGAAGGAAGGGAGAATGGATGATAATGCTGAAAAGTGTAAGGGAATTAAGGAGGGGGATCTAAGAGAACTCTCTGGCAGGTGGTCTCAGACAGCTGTCAGTGGAATAGTGAACTTGGTTACTTTCTAAGTGTCAGAAGGTAGGAATATGGTTAGGCTGTTGAAGAGAATGGAATTGGTTTGCAATGGTTGCTATGGTTCACTAGAAAGAAAAAAGACAAGTGTAAAGTAGCAGGCAGAATCAAACTGAGATTATACATCAGAAATTTGTATTGGGTGAAATCTGCTGTATTATTCAACTACCTTCCGTAATGCCCAGCAGCCTGGGAATAGGGATGAGAAAGCAGAGACAAGATGGGTACATGAAAAATTGTTTAAGGGCATTACAGGACTAGTCACAAAGCACCATATGATTGATCACCAATGGACAATAAATGCTACAAGCTCATATGGGTGTTCAAATACCTGTAGTTGGAGTTTAGGGGAGGGAAGTTTATCATGTAGGGCATCCAATGAGTCCTGTAACCAACCACGCATCCCAGTTTTATAGGATTTGGCATTCTTCAAACACACACACACACACACACACACACACACACACACACGCAGCCATGTGCTACAGTGAATAGAACACTGGGCTTGAATCAGGAAGACTCATCTTCATGAATTCAAATATGGCCTTAGACACTTACTACCTGTATGGCCCTGGGCAAGTCACTTAATCCTGTTTGCCTCAGTTTCCTCATCTGTAAAATAAGATGAAGAAGGAAATGGCAAACCACTCCAGTATCCTTGCCAAGAAAACTCCAAATGGGATCACGAAGAGTTGGACTCGACTGAAAACAACTCATCAACAACAACACTATATACATGTTTGTGAGTCCTTTAGTACTAATTATCTATGTTCCTTTCCTAGATTACAAGGCTGATCATCCTACTCTAAATAAGGATTGTGCCTTCAATACTAGGCAGTTGAGGTGGGAACTGCCTTCTGAATGTATTTGGAGGACTTAGGGCCAAGTATTCTGACTTGAATCTAGGGAACTCTAACTTAAAAACTCTTTTGATGACTGACTGTTCTCAGAACCTGTTGTGAATTTCCAGGTGCATGAGCACCATTGATGAACACAGAGAGGTACTTTCCTATGAAGGCACAAGGTTCACATTATGACTCTTGAGTGTGAGCTCTTGTTCTCACTGAAGAGTATCATTGCTTTTTCCCCAATGTTTCCGGTTTCATCACTATTATTGATTCCCAGCCTTTCTGGATCACCACAACCACCATTGCCTGTACAAAACCAAATAAATAAACCAAAAAAATGGTGTTGTTCTTTGTACAAAAGATTGTTTTAGCTGTTCAAACCACCTACTATGGCCTAGGCATGTGCTAAGTGCTAGGAATACAAAGAATGGCAAAAAAGGCATTAATTGTTATCTCTGTACCAGAGAGTGACCCCGGAGACTGACAGTTCTTTCCCTCTGCATGCTGGCTTCAATTTGCTGCTGCAGCTGTTACCAGATGTTGCTGTCACTGTTGTAATTCTATCTCTGAGACTTATCAGAGTCTGCCTGAAACTTTCATTCAGACTACAAGCACCCAATGACATCCACACCAGAGCTTGTATTCTGAACTCAAATGGTTTAATGGTCTTATGCTACCCAAGTTTCTAAAATTATTGGTAGCTTTAGACCCAAAGGCATTTCTTTAAAAAAAAAAAAACAGTCTTCTTTATCACCCCCGAAGCCATTTAATGGGAATTATGCCTTGGAGTAAGTTTAGAAAAAAAGTTCTAGATCCAAATTCCCATCTCTCTGGCATTGGCCCACCTAGGTTATTCATTTAGCTACTGGTTTATTTGTTTGTTTCTTTGTGCTGCAAACTTGTGATTTCATTGGCGTAGACAACTATTGGTGGTAAGGAAACTCCCTCTACCCATACAGGTCAGCAGCTGCTTTGTCATGTATGGTCACAGAGGCTTGTTTGCAGAGCTGGGAGGTTAAGCTATGCCCAGGTTCACACAGCTAATGGTGTCAGGAGTGGAACTCAAACCCCCTTCTTCCTGATTTCAAGACCACCTCTCTGCTTTTGCACTGTCTTTTCCAGCTTGGTATTTTGAAGGTAAATGGTATAAGCACAGGTTATCTGTGATTTGATGGAGTTTCTTTTTCTGTTGCAATGAGCTCCGTGCTCAGAGGATTGCACCTCAACTTCCTCCCTTTTAGAATTGCTTCTTTGATGTTCTTTGTGGCTTGCACACATACACACATATAACACACACACACACATATACACATATGTGCATATATATATATAATATATATATATATACACGTACACATACACACACACCTCACAACAGAGCTGTCATTGGCAATTTTTGCACCTGAGGCAAGTAGCACAAACTGAGTCCGTGACAAGCAGCATAAAGTGGGATGGTGGGTGTGGGGCAGGGAGAGTTTGGCTAAGGAGGACTTCCCCAAGAGTGTGCCCACAGAGGGAGGAAGCAAGCTGTAATACCTTCCTATTTTAACTGTTCATGCCAATTAGATACTGAGTTCTGATATTTCTAAGCTGCTAAAGGACTGCAGAGATAGTAAGTACCCCTTAAATTCAATGTCCTGGGACAAAGCTATAGTTTTCATACCTTAATTATGGCCCTCCCTCAAAGTCTATGTTCTAGGTTGGTCAGTTGGTCAACCAATGTTTGTTAAGCACCTGTGCCCCAGGTGGGCAGCTGGATGGTGTAGGAGTGGCCAGGAGTTAGGAAGATCTGAATTCAAATCTGGCCTCAGATACTTACTAGCTTTGTGACCCTGGGCAAGTCACTTCACCCCTATTTGCCTCAGTTCCCCGTATGTAAAATGGGGTCATGCTGGAGAAGGAAATGTCAAACCACTCCAGTATCTTTACCGAGAAAACCCCATGGACAAAGTCCATGGGATCATGAAGAGTCACACAGGACTGAACAAGTTAATATGTCTCATGCACTGTGCTAAGTGCTAATGATACAAAGAATGGAAAAAGAAGGTCTCTTCCATCACAATGGGGGAGATTACATGTAAAAAATTGCATATAAAGAAGACATAGACGGGATAAGTTGGAAATAATCAAGAGAAGGTGCTAGAATTCAAAGGGATTAAAAAAGATTTGGGGCAGCTAGGTGGCTCAGTGGGTAGATTAACTGGCCTGGAGTCAGGAAGAACTGAGTTCAAATCTGGCTTAAGACACTTACTAGCTGTGTGACCCTGGACAAGTCATTTAACTCTGTTTGCCTCCATTTTTCATCTGTAAAATGAGCTGGAGAAGGAAATGGAAACAACTCCAGTGTCTTTGCCAAGAAAACCCCAAATGAGGTCATGAAGAGTTAGACATGACTGAACAACAGAACAGTGAACAAGGAAAGGCTTCCTGCAGAAGATGAGATTTTAGCTGGGACTTGAAGAAAGCTGGGGAAGTTAGGAGGTGGAGATGAGGAGTGAGAACATTCCAGTCATGGGAGACAGCTAGTGAAAATCTCCGGTCAGGAATGGAGGGTCTTGTTTGAAGAACAGCAAGAATGCCAATGTCACTGATTTGAAGAGTACATGAGGAGACAGGTGGTATAAGGTAGAAGAAGACTGGGAGGGTTCTGACGGGTTTCAGAGGCCAGAGGATTTTGTATTTGATCCTCGAGGTCCTAGGGATGCACTGGAGGTTATTGAGAACGAGCAGGGGTGACATGGTCAGACCTGTGCTTTAGGAAGATCAATTTGACAGCTGAGAGGAGGAGGGATTGGAGTGGGGAGAGACTTATGGCAGACAGATCAACTAGACTGCTACAGCCTAAATCAGAGAAAGGGGTATATGCAAGATGTATTACAAAGGTAAAATTGACAAGCTTTGGCAACAATTGGATATGGGGAGTATTGCTAGAGAGTCCAGAGTCAAAGATGATACCTAGGTTGTAAGCCTGGGGAACTGGGAAGATGGCAGTGCCCTAGACAGTAAGGGGAAAGTTTGGAAATAGGGGAGAGTTTTAGGTAAATGATGAGTTCAGTGTGGGTCATACTGAGTTTAAGATATCCATGGGACATCCAGCTTAAGATGTCTAATATTATTTGGAGATATGATATTGGAGATCAGCATAAAGGTTAGGGCAGGATAAGCATATCGATGGTAATTAAATCTATGGAAACTGTTGAGATCACCTTGTGAAATAGTATAGAGGGAGAAGAGAAGAGGATCAGAACAGTGGAAAATGCCACTGATTTCTAAATGTATAAAGCTCACAATTGCATTGGACGTCCAGCCCATTTGGAATATTGATCCATATATGTATGACACATGCTTTTTCCTTCCATTTATCTTTTTTTTTCTAAAAAGACAAACAAATAAATCCTTTATTCTCAAAGCAAAGAGCCCAGCCAACAACGTGTAAAGAGATGGGGATTCTCCATTGATGAGGTACTAAAGGACCAAGTCGGGCGAGACCAGTTCCTTCGTTTTCTGGAGTCGGAATTCAGTTCAGAAAACCTCAGGCAAGTCTCTGACAAGTTTGGAACTGTGTGCATAGTGTATGTGAATGAATAGATTTGCAGGATCTCTCTCTCTCTCTCTCTCTCTCTCTCTCTCTCTCTCTCTCTCTCTCTCTCTCTCTCTCCCCCTCTCCCTCTCGATCCTCCTTATCCTTCCCATTTTCGTTCTCTCCCTTCTTTTAATCCCCAAAATATATATAAAATATATTAATTATATTATGGTTTAAATAAGCAATTGTTATAACTGTTTAGCTTATTTTAATTACTTCCCATCACATCTCACATCACATCATATCATACCTAGCATTGTGCCTTAACCATAGTAGCTATGCTCAATAAATGTGGAAAGGTGGAAGGGAAATGACATTTATTAAGCACCTACTATGTGCTGGACACTGTGCTCAGCACTTTACAAATATTATTTCATTTTATTATTTATTGATTTGAATTAACAAGTCCTACATAGAATGATTTTTCTTCAAATTCAGCAATACCTAGAAACTTTAAAGAGTAGAATTCACATTTCCATCAATTGAGGAATGGCTAAACAAGTTATGGCATATGATTATAATGGAATACATACATTTGTGCTATAAGAAATAATGAAGGAGATGGTTTCAGAAAAACCTTGAAAGTATTATATGAGCTGATGCAAAGTAAAGGGAGCAGAACTAGGAGAGCATTGGACACAGTAGCAGCCATATTTTTGTAACGGTAATTAACTGTGGAAGACTTAGCTACTCTGATCAAAACAGTGATCCACAATAATTCCAAAAGACTCATGATGAAAGGACTGATGAGCTCTGAGTGCAGATTGAAGCATTTTTTCACATTCTTTGTGTTTATTGCTTTTTTCGCAACATGGCTGTGGAAATATGTTTTGCATAACTTCATATGTATAATCAATATCTTATTTCTTGCCTTCTTGCTGGATGGAGGAAGGTATGGAAGGCGAGAGAAAATTTGAAGCTAAAAATAAAAATAAAAACAAGAAGAAGAAGTAGTAATCACATTTCAGCACCCCTAATTTTTAAATGCAAAATCCAGTTTGTTGCTTCAGAATTAAGATCATCTGAAATCATCAACAATTTAACAAGCATCACCTTGATCACTTAGTGGACAGCAAGTACTCTGTGAGCTGCTGAGAAGACCAAAACTAGACTTGGTCTTGCCCTCAGGAAGCTTCCATCTTGTTGGAGGGATGGTAGATTAGAGAGTAAAACAAAATACCATGTAATTAAAGTGCTAAATTATATGGCACAGATTACAAGTACTACACCATAAGGATCTGAAATTGCATAAGGCCAAGTCCTAAGAATTGCCTGAGGCATGTAGAGGTTAAGCGACTTTCTCTAATAGGCAGGAGATTTGAACTCAGCTCTTTCTTATTCTGAATCCAGCATTCTATCCAATATATGCCTGCCTCATCTACTACAAATGTTAGAGAAGTTTATGAAAGGGAAAAAAGCAACAAGTAATAGAAGGAGACTTCATGGAAGAAACAGTACTAGATCTGAAAGCTGAAAGCATAGGTTTAGAGATTCAAGATAGATGACATATAGACCATTTATTGAATTTAAAAGTTCTTCTAAGGACCAATCTACATCAACCAACATGGTGCCTTTGCACATACTCAAGATAGTAGGATGAAAATGTTTATTTCAAAGTAAAATTATATCTTCTTGTAATTAGTTATATATAAAGTGCATTTGCACAATTAGGAAAAATTATAGTAAATTAGAGCAAATTTATTTTTTAAAAAATATTTTAAAATTCTTGTATAAGTCAACACAATTGACTACTTCTTGTGGTAAATACTTACTATGAGCCATACACTGTGCTAAGCACTAGGAATATAAATATAAGAAGGAAGACAGCCCCTACCCTCAAAGAGCTTTCATTCTAATAAGGGAAGACCACACATAGAGGGATATCTGGAAGTGGGGTGTGGGAGAAGAAATGCTTCGTTTCTTTTTTCTTGGTGTTTTTTTTTTGACAAAGGGATCAGAATACTGTGTAATTTTCCCTCTGTTCAATTGAATTCAAATTAGCAAACACTTTTTAGCAGGAAGAGCAGAGATTTCTTAGGGTGACAATGTGGCAGGCAAGGAAAAAAAGAAGGAAAATCCAGTGTGAGTCAAAACAAGAATGAGGACAAACATGGCTGGCTAAAATGGTGATTCCCTAAGAGAGAGCCACCAATGTAGACAGAGGGCCTCAAGGTGGAGGTTTGACGAGGCGAGGAGGAAAATGGGTATTCTATACAAGAGAAATGGGACAGAAGAAGCACAGAAATGGGACTCCCCTGTGCCATTGTGTCTCAGAAGGAAGTGTTTATTGTGCATAATATGAATAAACGTAAATCAATGTTATGTCTTTATATACAGACATGCATATATCATAACCTGGGTTACACTGACTATTTGATTTCTGAGGATACTGAAGCATTATGCTGAATAAGTCTTTGATGGTTGTCTAAAAGTCCCAATTAAGTACCTCAAGTTTAAAGCCACTGGCCTTCCCCACTCCCCATCACAGCAGCAGAGTTGCCTAGCATGCAGTCATCAGAGGCTGGGGGATGCTTTGGAAGGTGAAACCATTGTGGGGCCTGAGAGGCAGAGCAACAGCATTGCAGTCAGCCTCAGCAGGGTCTGCTTGAGTGTTGAGCGTGGGGGGGAGGGCTTACAATGCTACTCAAGGGTCATTTCAGCCCCAGGCCCTGTCCACCTGCTGTCCATTTAATCAGTCCCTTGAGTACCCCCTTCCCCTTCCAGATCCCCATGATAACTTGCTGTAGGGTTTTCACTGACCTACGGCTTTTCATCCTTACAAGGTAGGAACTCCGTAAACAGCCACATCCTGTACCCTGTATCCCTCTGTGCACTATTATGGGGTGGCTGAAGTATTACATTATTGTGAAGGGCGCAGAAATGGGAGTGTGTGCTGGCTCAGCTGTTTCTGGGTCCAGTTGGGGCCCTTGCACTCTAAATGAGAAACATAATTTTATTCTTTACCCAGGAAAGCTCTGGGTGTAACTGAAACCACATATTAGTTCAGATTAGTTTCATGAAATATGCCGTGCGCTTAAACCCCGGCGTGGGGCAGGAGAGTCTGTCTCTGCCAGGTGTTCAGACACTCATCCTTCTCAAATGAATCCAAAGGGGACCATAACTGGAAAATCAAGCCACTGCCTCTGTGTGTCACTGCCAGCCCTTTTCTCCCATGCTAAGAAGGGCTCCATTTAACCTTGAGCCAAGCTGGGTGTGTGTGTGTGCGTGTGTGTGCATGTGTGCGCATGCACACACACTCAGGAGGGCTTGTGAATGTGCGTGGACTTCCGTGTGCTCAGCGTGGATGTGTGTGGAGAGAGAATGATAACCCTGAGTTAGAAAGGGTCTTCTAATGATCCCTGACAGGAACAATGTTCTAGAAAATGGAACAGCTGGAGTTGAGAAATTCCCCTAAGAGCTATTAACATTCTCTCAGGGGTCCCAAATTCCATCGCTATTCCCACTACCTTCAAGAGAATTGGTTATCTGGGGAGAAGCTCAATTTACAGTCACTCATCATTGAGACTCTTCTGGTTACCAGGAACAATGCAGATTTTTTCCTCTTCTGAGATTTTCATGTTCTCTGCTTCCCAGCTCACCAAGTCTTTCCCTTTGTTCTTAATAATACAAAAGACTACACATCAGGCCCCCTGTTAAGACCCTTATTTATAAGTGAGCAGGAACTTTTTGAAAATGTGGACATTTGGGGGTTTTTCCTTTTTTTCTTTTTTAAAATATTATTGAAATTTTTAATATTGTCTCCCCCTGAATAGTCTCTCCCTGGTAGCCAAGAAGTATACCCATAAGCTGACACTTTGGCTATGTCTAACAGCATATGCTTCATTCCGCAGCTGTGGTTTGCCCCCTCTTTGCTGAGAGAAGGGAGACAGTTTGCATCCTCAGTCGGCTGAAATCAAAATGGTTCATTGTATGCATCTGAGTTCTCCTGTCTGTTAGTGTTGTTTCCTTTGCATCACTGTGTGTTGTGTCCCTGTGTATATAATTCTCTTGGTTCTCCTTACTTCACTTACTAAGTTTCTCTGGATTCTTCATAACTATCATTTCTTATGGCAATAATAAGATAATACAGCACTATATTCATATGCCATAATGTATTCAGGCACTCTCTAGTTAATGGATACCAGGTTTTTTACTACCACTGCCACACACATGCGCACACACGCGTGCACACACACACACACGCTGTCACTGCAAATATTTTGGTATACATGGAACTGTTCCCTCTGTATGAGCTGCTTGATAAATGCTTGAGAAGTTGATAAATGCCCAGCAGTGATATTACTGGGTCAAAGGAGTGTGTGTGTGTGTGTGTGTGTGTGTGTGTGTGTGTGTGTGTGTGTGTGTATGTAATAAAGAGGGGAGGAGGGGGAGAGAGAGAGAGACAGAGAGACAGAGAGACAGAGAGACAGAGAGAGAAGTTTAGCTACTCTTCTAACATACTTCCATGATGGTTGAACCAATTCATAACCATGACAACAGTGTATTATGGTGCCTGTATTCTTACAGCCCCTCCAACAATGACTATTTCCATTTTTTCTTTTGTTATCTTTGCCAATTTACTGTGAGATGAAGCCTCAGAGTTGCAGATCCATGTATTTTCCATACAAATACAAGATGATCCTAATGGTTTTCAAAGGTCTGGGTGATGCATTGGAAAGTTTATGTTGCAGTGATTATTAAATAGGCTTAGATTTTCTAGACCTAGAAATGGAAATCCTTGCTATGAACTATTTCTAAGAGTGCCTACAAAATGAGCATGGACTGGGAAGTATTCATTGGAAAAATAGTGAGATCTGCTTTATGAGAAAATGACTTCTTCAGATCAGTGTACACCACATTATCATTTCTGGTAGCATTTCAGAAATGAAACCTACTGCCATCCAAACCTGCTTCATACAGCTTAACTAATGCTGGCTATATACCCCTCCCGAG